CCTGTGTTGCCAGTCATCATCTGTTCATCTGGCTGTAGGAGATACACATCAACACAATCAGACCATAGCTGGTCTTCTTGTGGAAAGTTTATGTGTGTGTAAGTGTGTATGTTTACTTTCTAACCCTTAAAGCTACATTAGGCCAGACCAATTTTATTTCTTGTTTTACGGTTCCACTGGTCGTATTTTTTCAAGAATAAGAAATAAAATAGAAATTAATTTTCCTTGCTCAAAAAATACAATCCTAATGTTTGTATTGGCAAAAAATGTAATCTTACAAAAAAATGTTTTTTAGATTGTTTTATGCCTCATATACACTTAATAAATTGCCAAAAGTAAAATACTTTTGTTATTGAAAAGGATTATTACTTTGACTGGTAATTGGTTTGGCTTTAGGATTGAAAGTCAAATACCCTGCATATGTTTTGGAAAATAGTGTCATTGTCATCGTTTTGTGATTTTATTTGATTTAAGTATTCTGTTACAGAATGTGACCCCGGTACTTCATAATTGTTTCACAAATCAATGAAAATATTCGAATATTTGTTACATTGAGCCAAACTACACACATGAGATTTTAAGGACAGTTCTTTAAGTTAATATCATACTCTATTTTCAGTGAGAATGTGATTCTTCTCAGATTGTTTTAGTAAGGATCACTTGTCACAGGTGCTGAAATAATGTACCACTGACATGTAAAACAGGTCTAGTTGATATTATAAGTTTGTGTTCATTGTGAAAAATCTCCATTGGCTCCCAATCAAATTCAGAATCCAATACAAAGTATTGCTTCTTGTTTTTAAATGCGTCCATGGACTGGCTCCAGGGTATCTTTCACAACTTGTAAAAACCTATGTGCCAACCCAATCTCTTCGCTCCAGTGACCAATCTCTTCTGAAAATTCAATGTACAAGAACAAAGTCTTTTGGTGACCGAGCATTCTCTTCAAATGGTGCAAAACTCTGGAAAAATCTACTACAAGAACTTCGATCACTGACTGAACTTGCATCTTTCAAAAGCCAGTTAAAGACTCATCTTTTTACTAAAGCTTACCTTTAGCTCCAGCGTGGACTCAGAGCGCCTTTGGGCGATTACATCGGATTCTGGCGCTATAGAAGTATTTGTATGTATGTATGTATGTATGTATAGTGAAGTGTTCAATTGACGAGACATGTTGTACATGACTGTATTTTAATGGTGCCTTTGTAATTGTAATTCTTCAGAGCTAGCTTTCAAAATCCTGTACAAATAAACTGCATAAGCTTAACTCAATAACTGAGGTATATGGAGCTAAACCAAGGCATATGGTTACCTGGAGTTTTCTTAGGCTTAGCCTTGTGGTTAAGTGGTATAATGTGTGAAGCCCATTTCTGGTGTCTCCTGTTGTGATATTTCTGTTTCATTTGCTAAAAGTGGCGTAAAACAAAACTCACTCACTCTTAGGCCTATGATAAATGAATGATAGCGCTCGATTATTAAGGAACTATGATATGATATTCAACATGTGGTCATCAGATATCAGCCTGATTGTGAGATATTGTTGATAATGTACTACTGGCATTAAGTTTTCCTTTTGTTTTAAATGTAATATGAAAAATCAATGGAAATGTCAATAAACCATGAGGACCATGAGGAAATCTGTTGTGTGGGAAGTATTTTAATGTCAAAGATCAGTGTTGATTTAGCAGATGCTATTGAGGAAGTAGTGATCATTTGAAAACATAAGAAGCACACAAGTACTACTACTGTCATCACTGTTAATGAAACACCCATTGTAAGTACAGTCTACTTATTATGATATGGGTTAGTGAGTGGGTCCAGTTTCATCCTACTTTGAATAGCACTGGAAGTATTAATCAGGCGGCACAGATTGTACTACAATGCGAGAAGGAGTTTCCAAATTTTGCTAGCCAGTCAGGCTAAGCTATGTCTGAAAGTTACTAGCCCACAAAATAATTCATTAGCCCGAAATTTGAATGTAGACATGGGTTTCATCAAAAAGCTGCTAATATGATGAACATTTTTATCAGGCCATAATTTTGCATGATTTAAAAGTGTATTAAGTTAACAAGTTGGTGAGAGTGATATATTTACAAAATGACCCCATGAAAGTCGGGCAGTTGACTGTGGAGATTTACTGCCCCGACTTGATTTTACTAGCCAGGGGCTAGTGGACCAGTGGCTATTTGCACACTGTACTACTGTCAAATTTGTTTGTTAATGAATCACCCTTTGTGCATGTTATACCTACAGTCTGCTTTTGTGAATTAGTATTGAAGTTATTTTATCATCGCCATGCTTTATGTCGGGGGGAAAAGCCTGAAGTACTATATTTTGCTACTTATGTAGAAACCGCCTCCGTGGTGTAGTGGTTAGAGCATCTGCCCGGAGAGCGGAAGGTCGCGGGTTCGATCCCCGACCGCGTCATACCAAAAGACGTTAAAATATGGTACTTGTTGGTCCCTGCCTGGCGTTCGGCATTAATGGGTACAACAAGGACTGGTCGGCTCGGAGTCGGTATAATGTGTCTGAGTGGGGTATTCATGCTTCACTGCGGCATGGTATCTCAGTGGTCTAGCACTATAAAACCAGCTTCAGTCTGGGCTAGTACAAGCAGCCGCACATACACATGCATGCACTTCGTCATATGAGCGAAATATTCTCAAGCACGACGATAAACCCAATTTCACCTCACCTCACCTCACTTATGTAGAATACACATGACCATGGGTATGGTGTCAAAAATTAAGACTGATGACGTAGGCCACTGCAGAATTTGAACCACAAATAACTGAATCCTGGCAAGGCTAAGGGAGGCAACTCATCACATGGATTGCCAGTGGTATTTCGAGAGTACTTTTAAGTATTTTTCATTGTCATCATCATGTCCTTATTGTGAATTGTCTTATCTGTTTTGCAGATGTTCACTTCAAATTCTTTAAAAAATTACATTACAATTTGAAAATAAGACCAAATAAAGACTAACATGATGTTAGTTTAATTGTTTTCAAGGTAGCTTCACATACAGGCAAATAGGCAGGAGAGGTTTAATGATACAGTGTGGTTCACGATACGATACGTATCCCCATACTATGGGGTATTATGATACATGTATCGTGTTACAGTACTTTTATATCTTTTTGATAGTCTCTCTTTTTGCTGGTGAGTCAAAGCCCTTTGTTTTTAAATTTGAGTGATCACAAATGTGATATTGTAGGGCAGAAACACAGAGGCTGTGGGAACTGTGAAATTTGTGTGTATAACGGTAATAATTCACAGCAAACTGCAGAAATATTAGAGAAACACTTTAGCTAGTGATGAACGTTTTCCATTATTATTCACATTTTTGCACTAATTCAACTTATAATGTACCATAGATAGATAGATAGATAGATAGATAGATAGATAGATAGATAGATAGATAGATAGATATAGGGGTTGTAGGTCAATGTATTGTATCTTTGGCTTTGTTTCGGATAGGGGCGGTGGGGTAGCCTAGTGGTTAATGCGTTGGCTCCTCACGCTGAAGACCTGGGTTCGAATCCCCACATGGGTACAATGTGTGAAGCTCATTTCTGGTGTCCCCCGCCGTGATGTTGCTGGAATATTGCTAAAAGCAGCGTAAAACTAAACTCAGTCAGTCAGTCAGTTGTTTCGGATACAGTAGTATATGGTTACACCACAAATGAGCAGTGTCAATAAGTTTCAGGTAGCATGTAAGCCTTGCTTAGCCACATGGGCTCAAACTGAAGGTGGAGCTTGTCATTGTATGTTTCATGAATGTAATATAGATCCGACAGTTTCAGCCTTGACCATGGCACTTTCAGTTTAAATTGTGACATGACACAAACTCTTGTGGCTCTGACTGACTGACTGACTGAGTTTGGTTTTACTCCGCTTTTAGCAATATTCCAGCAATATCCCAGCAATATCACGGCGGGGGACACCAGAAATGGGCTTCACTCATTGTACCCACTTGTGGCTCTGTGTCTTACTGTATTCATGATACTGAAGTAATGATCAATTATCCAGCATTGTCCATCATGCTTCAGATAGATCTGCTTCTTGAAAGACTTATGATTTGAGCTTAGAGACAGCCATAGACATGAGAGAGACAAAGTGAAAGTAATTAGCGCCAAGTGCTTCAGGCAGCTTCAGGCAGCTTCTGGCAAACCAATTAACAATCAGGATAACTCTGTTAGACATCACATTATAGCCATTATACGTCATGTTATGGATTGAAAATGTTATTTAGGAATACTGTATTTGGTCACAGTATGGGTGATAGATTTTGAAAGCCACACTGTTTAATTCATATATACTGGTATATTTAATCCATTGTCTAGAACTCCTTTGATGTTCAACTAGCCATAGGGATCATGCTAGATTTGGTCATTAGTACATGGTAAAGATTTTCTGCCTACAGGTATTGGACAAGGGTTGTTTGTGAAGTCAGCAAACAGTATGAAGTATCTCCTTTTGGCACTATGTGCCAATTCCTATCTTCCCAGCATCAAGCCTCAGACTCCCTTACACACCAAAGGCTATCTGGGATTAAGTCTGGCTGTTTGCAAAACTTTTCCAGTTTGTGAAGGAAATGTCTTAATCAGATAAATGTATAGTAAATATTTTCTTTGGTATCATAAAAATATTATGCATTTGTGCAAAGGACTAAATTTTGTTTTCAAGTCAGTAAAAGGCCATTGGAGTCATTCTGAGTATTTCCTAATCTGAATCTGAGGAGTGGATATCTTCCATAGTCAAGAGGCTATGCATCACAGTTCCTGGATAAATAAATCCTGTGTAAACGTGCTTGGCTTTTCAAAATTATTGTAAGTATATTTTTACATCATGTTCCAGAACTGTTTATGCATCAATGTTTTGGGTTTCTGAAAGATATGGTATCATTTCTTATAATTGCTGAATGTGAAAACAAGTATTTGTTTGCTTCATAAAACATTGTTTGTTGTCCAATTATTCAAATCTTTGTTTTGTTTCAGAGAAAACCATGGATGACCTGTCCAATCCCAGCATTCCCTGGCAGAGGAAGTTGCTCAGTCTAGCAGAGGAAACAGACACACTAGCACTTCCTGTTGCAGTGACTGTTGGGATAGCAGCCACAGTCTCCATCATAATAGTTGTGGCCATGTGCATCTGTGGAGATGCGTAAGTATTACAGTACAAGCAGCAAGAATATTACACTATTTTACACAAAATGAACATTGCCAGCAATGCTGAAATATTTTGTTACCAGACCAGCTGAGTGAATCTAAACTTCATATTCTGTTCATCTAGTACACCTCTTTTTTGTTTAAGTATCAGCCATTTGTGCTTGGTTGTTCCTAACTTTTTACCTTGGTGAATACTGTATTTGCTTCAACCTTTCAGAGAGGTCCCTGAGCTCAAGGAGATCAAGCCAAGGAAAGGACCAAGTTCAATGAGCCTGGCAAACTCTGCTGTAAGTTGTAACGCTATCATACATGGATATTTGGGCACAGCTGCCTCAAGTCACTGTGGAGAGTTGTGTCCCTTAGGCAAGCCTTAAAACCTTTGGGACCGCCTCCGTGGTGTAGTGGTTAGAGCGTCCGCCCGGAGAGCGGAAGGTCGCGGGTTCGATCCCCGACCGCGTCATACCAAAAGACGTTAAAATATGGTACTTGTTGGTCCCTGCCTGGCGCTCGGCATTAATGGGTACAACAAGGACTGGTCGCCTCAGAGTCAGTATAATGTATCTGAGTGGGGTATTCATGCTTCACTGCGGCATGGTATCTCAGTGGGCTAGCACTAGAAACAAACCAGCTTCAGTCTGGGCTAGTACAAGCAGCCGCACATACACATACAAACGCATGCACGTCGTCATATGAGCGAAATATTCTCAAGCACGACGTTAAACCCAATTTCACCTCACCTCACCTTAAAACCTTTGGGGGTTTGAATCCTGTTTCTTCAAACTGTAAATTTCTTAAGACCTGCATCACTTCCGGCTTTCCATCCACATAAGGCAAACTACTTGTGATAAAACTGGGGCTGTCATCAAAGCTTTTGTATTTACACCCAGCTCCCTCCTTCACTCACGAAACCCTTATCAATCAATCAATCATTGGATAAGTGCTTGACATGAAGCAGCTTCGAATGGCGATGTCACCGTGCACAGCTGATCAGAGCAGCTGATATGTACAGATGCTGCTGTTATTGAAGTGTCATGACAGAGAACTAGTTGATGTAAGCACTCTTCTTCAGAAGGAGAATGTAATATTTTTCAAACAGTCTGCAGAACATGTTTTGGATTATTTCAGTAACACTACATTATTTCAGGTCCTGTTAATCTGAATGGGAACAGTAAATCTGTAATGGTGATTTGTTAATACAGAATCACGCTTTCTTAAAGGTTTTATCACTAACATCTTGATATGTACGAAGGAAGTGACTACAGTGATTTGTTAATTTGGTATTCCTTGTTCTGAATGTTTCCCTATGGATGGTTTGACAGGGTTTACCAGAGTTTCTCTCACTGCAGGCCCCAGTACAGACGGCCTCGGTGAAACTGGAGGTGGGTCCTGAGGTGCAGGTGCCAGACTCACCCAATGCCAGGCCAGAAAATGGCTTGTCCTCTAACAGACATAGTGGGGCCCCATCAAGGTTGGTGGTTCTCTTTAAATCAAACATGCTAATGTCATGATTTGTAGAAACATGAAACATGCTTAGGTGTCATTCAGCAACATGTTATAGTTGCAAATGTCAGAATACTTTCCCCCGGGGCGGTGAGGTAGCCTAGTGGTTAAAGCATTGGCTCGTCACGCCGAAGACCCGGGTTCGAATCCCCACATGGGTACATTGTGTGAAGCCCATTTCTGGTGTCCCCCGCCGTGATTTTGCTGGAATATTGCTAAAAGTGGCGTAAAACCAAACTCAGTCAGTCAGTCAGAATACTTTCACAGTTCAAACTGTTCAACACATCGGGCGGTGGGGTAGCCTAGTGGTTAAAGCGTTGGCTCGTCACGCCGAAGACCCGGGTTCGATTCCCCACATGGGCACAATGTGTTAAGCCCATTTCTGGTGTCCCCCGCCGTGATATTGCTGGAATATTGCTAAAAGCGGCGGCGTAAAACTAAACTCAGTCAGTCAGTCAGTTCAACACATCATAGTTCCTGATTCATCATCAGTTTGCAGCATACTAGTGTTCGTGGTTTGAGGGTGACACCTGAACTGTGTCACTTGGGATTTGCTAACTGACTTGCTGTGATTTAACTTCAATGCTCTTCAAAACAATGTTGAACTCAACTCTTAGTGATAATTTCACAATCTTCTATACACTATTGTGTTTCAATCATATGTACATAGTTTTAGTGAGTTTAATTTTACGCCACACTATTCCTGCTATATGGCGGCATATAGACATAATGCATGCTAGTGTTATTTCTAATAACTGATGATTCAAACGAAGTTCTGTTTCCAGAAAGAGAAGCCAGTGAAGCCTCAGTCAGATTACAATGGAAATGTCTCTCATTAGACTAGACCAGATAAAAAATATACAAATAATTGCCTTAGCTTTTTGAAATAGAAGTCTCACAACTACAGGAGATATAGTCTGGCAGAATGTTGACATGACCTTGCAATTTAGGTCCCACAATAGTTTTTGCATGATTTCATTCCCTCAGACACTCAGATGAATAAACTATCGGATGCCACCTTGGCACCCTTGAGGGTTTTGAATTTTTTAATTTATTTATTTTTAAATTACCCTCTTTTGATAATAGTAGAAGATAATGTCTTTCAGTGGCATTTAGAAGTTGTACATTGATGTCCAAGATATTTTTATGGATTAAACTTCTTTTTAATTTCCCTCACGACGAATGGTCTCGAAACGTCGTGAAGGAAATTAAAAAGAAGTTTAATCCAGAAAAAATATCTTGGACATAGTAAAAGATAGTTAACACAAAACCTAAGAAGTATTGTAAATGAACTGAACTCTGTCACTGCTGTAATAATGCTTCTCATTTCACTCCCAGGAGCAGCCAGATCAGTGTGGGATCTGGTCAAGCCCGGCCTCCAAGTCTCCGCGAGCTCCCAGAGCTTCCAGTTGGAGACATTGGTCGACCCTTATCAGGGGTTGAAAACGGTGTCCCTCATTGCATCACTGAAGATGATGATGACTATGATCATTTGGGCAAGGAGAGACAGCCTGGGAGAAGCAGGGCTAATTATGACCATATCAAAATCGACTCTCCAAACGGAGCGGTTGTAAGTGACATGCCTGTTGAGAATGAAACTCCCTCAGGAGAGAACTACTATGCTCAGTTACGTGATCGAAACTACGAAACTGTCACCGAAGTTAAACGAAGAGTTGTGGATCCTTATGATCAAGTGAACGTATGTGACGATCCGTACTCCGGTTTAAAGGATGATCCTTATGCAAAGGTCAAAGATGATCCTTATGAAAAGGTCAAGGATGATGACACATATGCAAAGGTCAAGGACAATGATGTATCAAATCAAATTCATGTAACAAACATTACTGTGGGAGGAAGTGAAATTGACCCCTATTCAACATTAGGCGAAGAAATGGAGGTCAACGCCATGGATGCAAGGTCATCCCGATCCAGTATTAACCTTGAAGCTGGATCACGTTCGTCTGCTGCCAACATTGTGAACTTAGAAGATGTTTCACAGGGGGGCATTAGGTCCCCATCTCCCAGAACCAAATGATGACTATGCTGTGGTGAACAAACCCAGAAATGCTTCTGCTTCCAATGAAGTGCAGCCTCCTGAGGAAGTTGACCCCTACGTGATCCCCCCCCCCGAACCACCCCGAGCTTACACAGTAGACGAAGCTGCTGCACAACCATCCCTAGTGGGAGCTGTTGGTGGAGGGGCCTCCAGACAGGGTAGGGATTACATTGATTCTCATGAGTAACAACTTTACTAGTCAGAGTAGGCCCAGGAACCTAGTGTTTGTCGTTTGTGTTGTTAGAGAGCTGCCAGACAGGGTAGGGTTTACATTGATTCTCTGAAATAAAAACTTTACAATTTGGAGAGATTCATTCAGAATAGGCACAGGTACCGAGTGCTTGTCGTTGGTGTTGTTGGAGAGCCTTCAGGAAGTACATTGATTCTCTGAAATAAAAACATTACTTGCTGGAATGATTTAGTCAGAATTGGTCCACAGTCCTTCATGTTTGTCATTGGTGTTGTTGGAAGACCAGCAGACAGGGTTGGGACTGATTCTCAGAAATAACCTTACTGAAAGATTCAGTCAGGATAGGTCATCATGCTTATTGTAGGTGGTGGGCCTCCAGACACAGAGATAACTGCCTTGCTGGTTGGAGAAATTAGAATAGGTCCACAGTCACCCATTCTTGTCAAAGGTGTCAGAGAAGGGATCTCTAGAAATAGTTGTATCTGTTTGAATGGGGATTCCAGGTCAAAATAAGTCCAGGATCCTCATGCTTGTCATACATTATTGGTGAAGGGGCTGGAAGAGACGATAGAACTTTCTTTAAATAATTCTCAAATGTACAATCCTGAATTGAGCTGCGTAGCTAATTCTTGTTGTAGGAGTCAGCTAAGATAAGGAAAAAATTTCAGAATCGTGACTTGGCTGTATTTATCTGTCTGATGTCGACAGGATTAGAGTTCTCATGCTCTCAGTTACTGTTTTATCTCTTTAATCATGTCATTGCCTGATATGTGGGTTGAATTGATTTCAAACCCTTTTGGAAATGTTACGTGTTACTTCTATTCAGTTTAGATATAATCTTGATAGGTCAGAGCCATACAGGGCTATCTTTGCCTCAGTTGAACGTGTTATTAGCAGTGGACAGATTTCCTTATGTGGAGATCTAACAAATCACCAGGGTAATAATTATATTACATGCTCGGAATATGTTGGAAAAACCTGTTTTACCCATTTTGACAGTAAGCATGTCTAATACGACTGCCATTAACTTTATAAACTATTGTTTTATGTTTAAGTTGTTGTGTTGTGGTTTTCCAGATGACAATCCAGAGCGAGAATACACGATGGTAACAGCCCGTGAATCTCTCGCCAGTATGACTGCAAGAAATGCCCTCAATCCTTATGAGACTGTCCCTGAAACTGAGAATATGTATGCTACGGTAAGACTTGTCCCTACACATACCAAGTGCTGTCATAATCACCATGGGGGCGGTGGGGTGGCCTAGTGGTTAAAGCATTCGCTCGTCACGCCGAAGATCTGGGTTCGATTCCCTACATGGGTACATTGTGTGAAGCACATTTCTGGTGTCCCTCACTGTGATATTGCTGTAATATTGCTAAAAGTGGCACAAAACCCAACTCACTCACTCACTGTAAGACTAAGCACTTTATCACAAAATTATTATTTTCTGATAAGTGAATATTCTCATTTTTATTATATGGAGCTTTTGGATTTTTTGTTGTTGTCAAAGCAGGAAGTGAATATTTTTTAAACATGCTATGAATGAATTGCAACTCTTTTGCATTTTGACCCATATATTGTGTTTGGTTTAATAGGAAATAAATTCTTTTTTAAAAAATGATAGTGAAACAGGCAACATTTGAGGAAATAGCAACAGTTGAATACAATGTACATCCAGGGCATGAATAGTGTGCGTAAGGATAGCACATTCAGCTTGAAGCAGTATCATCAGATTACATAACATCTCACCTTGTTATCATATCTGTCTGATAAAACTTTACAAGTTGGAGAGATTCATTCAGAGTAGGCACAGGAACCTAGTGCTTGTCGCTGGTGTTGTTGGAGAGCCTTCAGGAAGTACATTGATTCTCTGGAAATAAAACATTTCTTGCTGGAATGATTAGTAGTTAGAATTGGTCCACAGTCCTTCATGTTTGTCATTGAATTGTTGTTGGAAGGCCAGCAGACAGGGTTGGGACTGATTCTCAGAAATAACCTTACTGAAAAATTCAGTCAGGATAGAGTCATCATGCTTATTGTAGATGGTGGGCCTCATGCCCAGACACAGTGAGATAGCTGCTGCCTTGCTGGTTGGAGAAATTAGAATAGGTCCACAGTCCTTCATGTTTGTCATTGGTGTTGTTGGAGAATGGCCAGCAGACAGGGTTGGGACTGATTCTCAGATATAACCTTACTGAAAGATTCAGTCAGGATAGGCCCTCATGCTTATTGTAGATGGTGGGCCTCCAGCTGACAGAGAGATAGCTGCCTTGCTGGTTGGAGAAATTAGAATAGGTCCACAGTCACCCAATTCTTGTTAAAGGTGTCAGAGAAGGGATCTCTAGAAATTGTTGTATCTGTTTGAATGGGATCCCAGGTCAAAATAAGTCCAGGATCCTCATGCTTGTCATACATTATTGGTGAAGGGGCTGGAAGAGATCGATAGAACTTTCTTTAAATAATTCTCACCAAATGGGCCAATCCTGAATTGAGCTGCATTATCTCATTCTTGTTGTGGGAGTCCAGCTAAGATAAGGCCAAAATTTTAGAATCGTGACTTGGCTGTATTTATCCATCTGATGTCGACAGGATAAAAGTTCTCATGCTCTCAGTTACTGTTTTATCTCTTTAATCATGTCATTGCCTGATATGTGGGTTGAATTGATTTCCAAACCTTTTGGAAATGTTAGTGTTACTTCTATTCAGTTTAGATATAATCTTGATAGGTCAAGAGCCATACAGGGCTATCTTTGCCTCAGTTGAACGTGTTATTAGCAGTGGACAGATTTCCTTATGTGGAGATCACCAGGGTAATAATTATATTACATCTTTCGGAATATGTTGGAGAAACCTGTTTTACCCATTTTGACAGTAAGCATGTCTAATCGACTACCATTAACTTTATAAACTATTGTTTTATGTTTAAGTTGTTGTGTGTTGTGGTTTCAGATGACAATCCAGGCGAGAATACACGATGGTAACAGCCGTGAATCTCGCCAGTATGACTCACGCAAGAAATGCCCTCAATCCTTATGAGACTGTCCCTGAACTGAGAATATGTATGCTACGGTAAGACTTGTCCCTACACATACCAAGTGCTGTCATAATCACCATGGGGGCGGTGGGGTGGCCTAGTGGTTAAAGCATTAGCTCGTCACGCCGAAGATCTGGGTTCGATTCCTACATGGGTACAATGAGTGAAGCACATTTCTGGTGTCCCTCACTGTGATGTTGCTGTAATATTGCTAAAAGTGGCACAAAACCCAACTCACTCACTGTAAGACTAAGCACTTTATCACAAAATTATTATTTTCTGATAAGTGAATATTCTCATTTTATTATATGGAGCTTTTAGATTTTTGTTGTTGTCAAGCAGGAAGTGAATATTTTTGAACATGCTATAAATGAATTGCAACTCTTTTGCATTTTGACCCATATATTGTGTTTGGTTTAATAGGAAATACATTCTTTTTTAAAAAATGATAGTGAAACAGGCAACATTTGAGGAAATAGCAACAGTTGAATACAATGTACATCCAGGGCATGAATAGTGTGCGTAAGGATAGCACATTCAGCTTGAAGCAGTATCATTAGATTACATAACATCTCATCCTGTTATCATATCTGTCTGATAACAGGCTGTTATCCAGCCGAAGTCTGATAGCGGAGAATCGAACTGTACCTTGTAGTTGGTCTTCCGGTCTACCAGTCATCAGGCTTGCTTCACCTAAGATCTTTAATCAAGCTGAAAGTATCATATAGGTCATATCTGTTATATCTGTTTATATAGTTTAACTGTAAATCATTTGATAAGGGTTAATTATGTATTTGAAACCTCTGAGTTACAGTACAACCAGAAATTATTGAGAATTTAAGATTGTAATTTTTATATTTTTTTTCACTCATTACTCACGTATTAAATGTGAATATTAGCAGAACATAACTCAGATTCAAAGACAGGTGAACAGTTAGTATTTTGTCAAGTCACCATGGGGGCAGCAATGCAGGCTTCAATGTGGCGGGGCATACTACTGATCAAAGAAGTTAGAAAGTCGTGGTCCATGCTGTCCCAATATCGGACCACCTCTTCTTTCATTTCAGCAATATTTGTCAGATTTTTCTTATTGACACTTTCCTTCATAAGTCCCCAAACATTTTCTATTGGATTTAGGTCAGGGCTATAGCTTGGCCAATCTAATAATGTCATATTTTGGGTCGAAACCAGGCCTGTGAATGCTTTGAGCGATGTTTGGGTCGTTGTCCTGCTGGAAAATCCAAACATTTCCATAGAACACGTGAGCAGATGGAAGTAAATGTCCCTCGAGAATATCTGTGTACCGCTCACTGTTCATATTCCTTCAAATACACAGAGGGGCGTTGCCCCTAACACAGATATGCCACCCACCGCGTTAAATTTCGGACTGTACTTTGGAAGCTGATACAAAGGTTTTCAGTTTGTTTGGTCCAGAATTTCAGTGTATTAGGAAACAGCCACACAGAACTTTCATCTGAGAAAATCACATTGTCCCAGTTAAAATTTCTATGCTGTAAGCACCAGTTCAACCTTAAGCTCCTTTTGTTCAGGTTTCATGATGGGTGATGGAATTCCTCGACTTTTCTGCCAACCCATTGCATGCAGCTCAGTTCTAATTGTCTCCTTACAGACAGCCACAGTTCCTCTATCAATCATATCCAGCCTTAAGTTTTCTAAACTCCTTCGTTTGTTTTTAGAAACAAGAATACCAAGCTGCCTCCTGTCACCGACAGTCAATTTTCTGGGCCTACCTGCGCCTCCCTGGTGCTCAATGCCATATCCATTTGCAATATTTTTTCAAAACACGATAAACAGTGGACAAAGGGATGCCTGTTCTGCTTGAAATCACTTTAGCTGATCTGATGTCCTTGTTATAATACTCTAAAATCAACTTCCTCTTCTCTAAATCATCCATACTGAGGATCACTGAAAATGTCGTCTGCTAGCAAGTAAACAAAGGGGGATAACTCTTCACAAACTAATGAAAAAGGATTAACGGAGTTGTCTCTCTTGAATGAAACCAAGCACTTGATAGCTGGTCAAGGTTGTTTATACTAGAAATCAAATTAAACATATTCCTAAAATTCTCAATAATTTCTGGTCATAAGTCCCTATGTACAAATTGGAATATGTTAAGATCCGTTGACTAGATTCTTTTCATGTTTTGGTTCATCACAGTATAAGAAAGGTCCCAGTCAGGTTGGGTGACCTTGACCTTCATTTCAAGGTCACAAGGGGACTTTTAACGTTTTACTCTTGTCAGCAAGATATCTCAAGAACCGTTCACTAGATTTTCTTCATATTCAACACCAAGCTTTATCTAGGGAAGGCGCAGGGCCCAGTCTATTTTGGTGACCTTCACATAATTTTCAAGATCATGACGACACTTTGAAGATTTCAGCATGTAAACCTGCATGTTATGCTTGTCAGCGAGATACCTCAAGAACCATTCATTGGATTTTCTTCATATTTAACGCCAAGCTTAATCCAGGGAAGGCACAGGGCCCAGTTGATTTGGTGACCTTCACTTAATTTTCAAGGTCACAGCGACACTTTGAAGATTTCAGTATGTAAACCTGCATGTAAAGATGGTCAGCGAGATATCTCAAGAACCATTCACTGGACTTTCTTCATATTTGATACCAAAGTGCAAGGCCCAGTCAATTTTTGTGTCCTTCACTTAATTTTCAAGGTCATAAAGACACTTTGAAGATTTCAGCATGTTAAATTGCATGTTAACATAGCCAGCAAGATATCGCAAAAACCATTCACTAGATTTTTTTCATATTTGACACCAAGCTTCATCTAATGAAGGCTCAGGGCCCAGTCAATTTTGGTGACTTTTACGTAATTTTCAAGGTAACTGCGGCACTTTGAAGATTTCAGCATGTTAACCTGAATTCACTGGATTTTCTTCATAGATTTTCAAGACTTCCCTTGAATGTTTTTCAATAAGCAATTTATTTAGTACCTCTTTTGCATATTTCATACACTACGACATTCATGTCCAAATCAAAGTCAAACTTGAAAATATTTGTGTTTGAACAACTAAAGAGCAAGATATCAAGAGAGGTTGACTGGTCATGTTTTTGTTGACATTTAACTTCATCTTAAACTTTCATTACTTTTTAAGTTTGATTTGATCACCTTAGTGACAATAAACCATTGTGACCAGACTATGTCTCAACTTTTCTCTTTAGAACAGAGTCTGAGTCTCCTAGCTGACAGAAAACCAATATTTCATTGCTCACTGTAGCGTTGCTGCCAAACACTTGTGCATACAGTAATCCAAACCTATACCCTAGTCAGTCTATTGATGATGGTCAAATGATCTGATGTGTTTAGGTTGATGGTGGATCTGGCGATGGCGTGGTGCAGAGGAAGCCGGCACCAGAAGCACAAGCAGTGGCCAATCAAGCTGCCCAGAGACTGAGCTCTGTCAGTGAAACCTATGCTGAGATTGACGGTATGTCTGTACATCCTTATTTCTTATGCAAGCTTCAGTTCATCAAGTATTTATCATCTTTTATCCAACTAAGGAATGTGAACCTACAATCAGGAAATTCTTTCTTTCAGTCATAAATGGTTCTATATCACTCACTATGAAATCATTCAGCAATAGTTTTGTACTAGTCATGTCATTAATCCTGTTGGTTTTAATGAAGGATGAGTGACCTGAGTTCAGTTGTGAATCCTGTTATTTTCAAATTATGTAAATTTATTTATATGAATTTTAACAATGAATTTGAAAACATACAAAACATCAGGATGCTTAGTTGTCTGGAATTGTTGCTATTGCAGTCTTGTAGAGTAAGATAAAATAAGTCATGTCTATGTTGCATGATTTTTCATTCTCTTATGTATCTACCCGTGAAGATCCGGTTAGAACTGGTCTTCAGTAACCCACGCTTGTCGTAATAGGAGACTTATGGGTTCAGGTGATCAGGCTTGCTGACTTGGTTGATTCATGTCATTGTATCCCAATTATGTAGATCGATGCTCATGCTGTTGATCACTGGATTGTCTGGTCCAGACTCGATTATTAACAGACTGCCTCCATATAGCTGGAATATTGCTGAGTGTGGTGTGAACCAACCAACCAGTCTTATCTTATGACTAAAACAAACACCAAATCTTAATGAATAGATCAATTTTTATTATATTTGTGATGACACCTTCATGTCCAAACTCAGGTAACTACGCCACTGCAGCAGCTCCTGCTCCACCATCCCTCGACTCCCTGCACATGATGACCAAACAACAGGACGACCGGCGCCATCTGGCCAGCCCAGAAGATTCAGGGATATCAGGGAGCTCTAACGACTATGCTATCGTTGACAAGCGGTCCAGTTTCTCCCCAAGTGCGACACGACTGCCGGAAATACCAAACTCTCCAGTCCTACCGACAGTGGCACCAGTTGCCAATGGCAATGCAGAGGGAGCATCGAACGGTGTGACACTTGACCCTAACTATCAGACTGTTAAAGACTGTATCACTTATATTGACGAGAATGATCCGAATTATGAAAGTGTTGAAGAGGCAAAAGCAAAACAACCATCTAAAAGAGACAGGCGTCATGTGTACGAAGAAGTGAGTCCGACAAATCCCAATGCACCGGGGTTCGAAGCTGCTAGTGAGGTGCGTGAACGAGTGTTACAAGGCCACATGTATGAAGATATTCACGAACTGAAAGAGCAACAGCGAAAAAGTAAGCGTAGGCCTGCTGGGGGGAGTGAGAAGAGTTGATGGAATGGCCTTGATACATCGGTCAACCAGCAAGTGAATATGACACTCCCCCAGAAAATGGTCTCAGTGACCATATGCAAGATACTACTTCATACTGCTAACCAAACTTTTGTGAGCTGGTTGGACTTGATATGAAACACTTTGATTTGTGCTAAGGAGCAAGAATGAAATAGAAAGTGCTCAAAGTGAAGCTACGGTTCCAAAATTACAATGGCAAAACTGAAATAACACATATTTTGACCTAACATTCCAAGTAGGAATTCAAATTATAAGGAGACGGGCTGAAGAGCCGAAAAGGGAGGTTAAAAGAAGAGCTTCATAATAAAGTTGGAAGGAGAACCAAAAGATGGCATTGGCCACCAAATGGAGAAATGAATCTACATATCACGTACTGACTGTTGTTCTCTAACACAGAGTTTTGTTCCATTATGTGCTCATTAATTCTCGTTTAAACATATAATTGGAAAGGTTCATCCTACAATATGTTACGTTGTGCAATTTTAAAGTTGTTGATGGAGAAATAATTCCAAGACTTGTTTAGGTTGAAATATTTGTTGACTGTGATGAAATCACAAACTAGTTATGTTTTATTCTTAGTTCGCATTTTAAATGATCGGAAAGTTTGATATGTGATATGATTACACATTTTACAGAAGAATTATGATATCTCCAAAACAAGAAATCCAACTGATTTTTGCATTTTAGAGACTAAACAACTTACAATAAGAATCTTTCTGTTAACATTGTCAATGTAGTATATCAAGTTCAAACCATACATTTGTTTGCTTAAGCTTACAAGTTTCAAAATGGCAGCTTCCTAACTTGCTTATGTTACCATGGTTACACAGGTATAGTGTCGTCACCACAATGTATGTATATATATATGTGTGTGTGTATATGATAAATATTCAGATATCAAATGTGCTCAGAGGTCGAGAATGTCCTATTAATTTTATCTTCATGGATATTCTGTAGATGATAATCAGCTTTAGCTGATATTCTTTAGCGCTTCTTCTAATTAGACCGGCTACGATATATTGGAGAAGTATGTTGTATCTAAAAGGAAAAGTTTACCGATATATCCAAACATTATTACACGATGTTGCCACAACATCAAGTATTACAGTCATCATTATTATGAGCTTGTATAAAACAGACATATTATTGAAAAGGAAAAAGAGAAAAGTAATTGTCTTTTAAGGTTTATACAAGAATTAATTAGCAATTAAAATGTTTTTTATCAACTGTTCAAATTCTAAATTCCTATTTTTAAAATGGTAATAAGCAGTATATTCTTATACTTACGCCATGTTACCAGAAATGCAGTTAGTTCTTTCTGTAACTGTATGTATTGGTTATTAATGCGAACTATGATCAGTATTGCTTACATTGTGATACATTGTACCTTTTTTTTAAAAAAATATATGTAATTTTAGAAAGTCTGTAAGATAAACACAGTTCAAGATCATTCTGAAATGAAGTTCTACATCGATCAAGGTCACAGAAATATGAATGTACGATTAGATATTAGAGACAAATAACTGACCAGATGATCATGGACATGTTTGCCTTTCATGCTGTTTAAGAAATCATTTAAATTAAAATATAATCCACCACATACTTAGTTATTATTGGAACAATATGTTTTCTGATGATTCAGTTTAGAAAAAAACACAACAGACTTCAGAAAACGTGATGTTATCATGATATTAATTTAAAGTTTTGATTTTTGTAAATAATGACAAAATATCTTATTTATGATTTGGAATCCTAGTGCTAATGACAGTTATTTATCAAATATGATTTGAATATTTATTGCATGAGGAACAGAGTCAGTTGTCAAAATGTTATTTTCCTTTTCTACAGTGTTGGTATAGGTGAAATAAGGTTAACTGTGTCAACAAGAGGATAAATATACAGTGATGTACTATCTTCACATCATTCCAGAGTCGTCCTAGAGTTGTAGCTCATGTTGTCCAAAGGTCACGTTGTGTTGATGAAATCACGTGCTCAAAATAATGAAAACACCAGACTTGTTTTTCCTTTTTCATGTTGTTTGCATGAACATTAAATATTCATGAATGACGATGCTCAACATCTATCCATGTTATCTCATAGTAATGTGCAGAATATGTGTCTCCATGCTGAATATAGGCCTTGTTCATTGGTTATTGTCATCACATCACCTTGTCTACGCAATGATGCAGTTGATTTTGATTTGGTGCTCAATTATTTCTCTTCTAGGTTTCAATTCACACTTGTAACAGTGGTTGGAGTTTGGAATATTCTTTTGATGAGATCTATCAGATTATGTGCCATTTTGTGTAGATGTTTGACTTCTGTTTGAGGATTTGGACAGATGTTATTCAGTGAAGGGTTGTAGGAGTTGCATCAGGCTCGATTTAGTGCTCTGTTACTTGCGCTGGTTCAACCCAATATTACTAAGTGCAACCTAGTTATTAGACTAACTTGCACTAGGTGCAAGTCAATTTTTGAGTAGGTATACTTCTGAATAAAACATCTAAATAATTGCATTTACATATTGCAATAAAAGCAGTGCAACTGGAATTTTAGGTTTTTATCTTAGGTTGCACCTGGTGCAATAAGGTTAACATCTCTTAAATCGAGCCCTGATTGCTTGTTGTCTTATATGTAATGTCAAGGGAGCTGTAAGAATGTGTTTTTTGATATCAAATTTTCACTTTATCTTCTTTCATCCTTTAAGATTTTACTCAAAGTATCTTTTGTATTTTGGGGGTTCTGGAAAGTCCAGTGCAACATGATAAGGATATTTAAATACTAACAAAATGAAGTTTGTAGTGTCTTGCATAATAGGTGCCCTGGAAGGAAATAGAGAATTGGTCAAAAGCATATCAGTAGTGTCATAGAGGGGTCTTATGTATGATAATGTGTCTGGAACAAATAACAATTTCAGGAATAGAAGAACAGCAAAGAAAATGATGATATAGATAACGCACTGTGACAATACAAGGGCATATGGTTATAGCAAGTGAAACACAGAAAAATGCCCAATTTGTTCAGAAAACCCTCTGAATATGATAGGAAATCCCAGTCTGCTAGGTAGGTGATAATGACCTATATTCACTGTGGAGAGCCTCTGTTGTATGTACTTAAACTACACGTATACTTGTTGTACTGTGATGTCATATTGTCCTGGTGAATACGTGGATGTGTAGATATGTATTATTTGTTATCACGCTTTTTCTTCTTCTGTATCCAGAACCATAGCAACTTACAGTGAAACATCCTCTGACTTTCACTTACAATGCTTATCCCATCTGAAGCTGTGGCTTATTGCTTCACCACCGTTCTGTGGGTCTTCCATTAAGGTTGTTTAGTTTTATCTAGTGGGATTCTTCAGGCTTACGTAGTAGGGTTCTACAAGCATTTGTAGTGGGGTTCTTATGGATCATCTTCGAGGATTCCTTTGCCCATCAAGTCGAGGTGTTTAGGCCCATCTAGTTGAGGTTTTTAGGCCCATCTAGTCGAGGTTTTTAGGCCCATCTAGTTGAGGTTTTTAGGCCCATCTAGTAGGATTCCCTCTTCCCTACAAATTGGGATCTCTAGGTCCACTTACTGGGGATCTTTATTCTCATTAAGTTGGTATCTTTTGGCCCATCTATTAGGTTTTATCAGGCCCATATTAAAAGGGATCTTTGGGGACATAGACTAGCTATTAGAGTCTTCTGGACCATCTGTAGAAATTTTCAGATCCGTCTCCGTGCCATCATAGTTTAGTTTATTCAGGTCAGTCCAGTGGGATTCTGTAGTGTTTAAAGATGGAACTTGATTAGACGGATGTTACTTGTATAACTGGGTTATTCATGGACATCTGATCTTAATGTAAAGAGGCTTTGTCCATAGGCAGCCCAACCAGTGTTGAATCCTGCTGCTGGATAGCATATGATTGAGAGGCTGTATTAGAAGTGTTAAAGAAGTTTAATGACATTTTTTTTCAATTCAGTATTTTATGAACACTTTCATATTCAAATATTTATTTTCAAAGATAGTACAAGAAGGTTTTTGAATGGCATTTGGAAGAGAAATGTATGGATGTCACCTTCTTTGTTATGAACAAAACTGTTCCTCACAATAAAGATGTTGACATCCATAAAATTCTCTTCTTCACAGTACAAAAAATTAATCTTTGTTTCTTTGTCTGAACTTGTTATCAGTAAATTCTCTTTTATATGAATATAGGTGAAAGAAGCAGCTGGGCTTAGTGGTTACCATTTCCAGCCCAGACTTAGTATATTAAAAGGTATGTTAATAAGCTTATACCAGTTCAGAAAGATCTCTATTATATTACCGAAGAAGAAACAACATTTGTGATTTACTCACCTGTTTCATTGTCATTACTAAATCAAGGATCAGAATAAAGTGAGTGGATTCCGTTATATAACATATATATGTATCAGCAAAGGAATATGACAAAGAGAAATTTGGTATTATTTTATGAGCTGTACAAGTTTTAACAGCTTACTAAAGTAATATTTTATTTTTTGTGTATAGAGATAATGAAATTTTGTCAAGTCATTTTTAGATATTTTGCCTGATGACAGTATATTGCTAATTATGTCAGTTTGTGGATGAGTTGATATTTGATAATATGTTAGGTTGTAATAAAATGTTGACAAATATTTCATTTTCCCAACAACTGTCCAGAGTGATTGTTCAAATTCCATGCTCTGTTTACAGGGTTAAATAGATAAATGTGTGACTCTTTTCAGTTTTATTGAAACCCTTACCGTATCATTTTTAATGGAATTTGCTCAAAGGTGCTAATTTTTGCATTGGATTTTAACCTTTTGATAAAACTTTTTGTTTAATAATGTTTTATGTCACAAGGACTGGTTCCTTGATAATGTTTAGCTGGAAACCTATCAAGTGATCTCAACACATTTGATAGCCAGTGGGAAGGATTTGTTGCTGTTGGCTTTGGTGGTTTAGTCAATAACAGACCCTAGTGCATAGTTCAATCAGCAAGTATAGATGAGTGGTAGAGGACAGGTTTGTGGAGGACAGTATGATGCTTATGTTTTATTACTTGATTTATGAAGGATTTGTTCAGCCCCAGTATCTTTGATTTTCATTATTTTAATGTGTAAAATGGAGATTTATCAGTTTACTACAAAAGACAGTTAATTCTGTGCAGGTCTGTGTGACAAATACAAGGGACATAACTCTATATATAAAGCATAGGATCAGCTTGGGTGCAAATAGGCCTCTTATTGGCACACGTAGCCCTTAAACTATAAAACCATAGGATCAGCTCAGGCTGATTAATTAGGAGGAAATAATGTCAAATTTTACATCACATCCCCGAAAATAATTTATTTGTATTAAATAATATTACCACGTTAAAACAAAAACTGTAATGTGATATTTTTCCTTTCATTCTTTATCCAACCAATTGAAAAATATTGGCCAAGGTTAGATACCATTTTCTGTGCGTATAAGCTTTTTCAGTAATACTGCCGTTGATTAATTACTACATAAGGGACCGTTCATAAGTTATGGCAAAGGTGGGGTGATGATGATTTTATTCAGAAGCATGTACGATGTGAATGACCCTCCCCTAAAGTTACACGTACAAAGTAAGTGATCCCCCCTTGCATATCATGTACAAAATCAATGACCCTCTCCCCCTTCCAATATTTGTTGAGCATAATGTAGTATTTTTATGTACAAAATTGCTGAACCCCCTTTCCTCCCCAGAACAAAATGGGTGACCCCCTTAAAATCATCATCACCCCCCTAGCCATAAATTATGAATGGTCCCTAACCAAGTACAGACTTATAATGTCTATGAATATAAGTCATAGATATATTATAAGTCATGCACATATAAATTCTATATGTTTTCTTATAAATTAAAATTGATTATCAAATGTAAGTGATTGATTGTATGCAACTTCATGAGGTCTGAATTACCATTATAACATGCTTAAAACTGACATTAGACTTAGATGTAACACCTTCTCATATTCTAGGCCTAGTTCCCAACACGCTGGTGCCAAGTATTTGGGTGCAAAACAAATACCAAAGATTAAATGTAGACTAATTAATGCTTCCTTTAGCATAGCTAACACTTCCAAGTTGTTAATTTTTAATTCATCTTTAATCATTTTTATGATAGGTGTAAATTTTACTTTCTCATTGTATGTGCATTTTGTAAACTATTGCATTACTTATTTTATAACAATGCTCATGACGGATGTTAAACATTTTAGTTGTTATAGATTATTCAAGCCAACAAGTAAACAGTGGAAAGAGTTTATCTATCACATGGACCTATATGAAACTTACATATCATAATCTTTATAGTTAACAAAGATATTGTAGGAGATGTTTCTTATTTTTACTTTTGTCAATAATTATGACTATGTTGATGTTTTTATCTAATGATTACAAAAGAGAAGGATATGGCTACTCTTTGAGACATTTATTTTACACCCTGTCTTCAAGATCAAGGAAATCAACAACTGAGGATGTTATGTGTTGTGATACTGGTGAAATTGAACGCTTGTTCCTTGTTCAAAAGAAGAACTAATTTTGGTTGTTGTGATTTACATCATAGTTTTGATCAAACTAATTCTTATTCCACAACATTCTTCTATGGTCTGTTATAATCTGAATTACTAACCCACTTTCTCTTTAGAGCGCTGTCATGTCTGTCAGGGATATTCCGTTGTAAACTTACACAAGTCCTTTTTGGCTTTATGGACTGACAGGTAAAACAAATGAATTCGTACATTAACATAACAATAAATATATTTATTGTATCACAGAAACCTTGGAAATATCACAAATGCAAAATCATATTTATTTCCTCTTTCTGCTTTCTTAGAACTTGAAGTCTGATTTTTAGATGATTACTTCTGGACTTTTGGAAGATGTTTACCAACTTGGAGAGCAGGTTTTCTTTAACGTGTTTGCAATTGAACACAGTTCTGTTTCTAGATCCTAGTCATGAGAAGCTGCTTCTGCCTGTATTTAAAGCCAGCTGCCTGCCCTGTGTGTGCACTGCAGGCAATGACACTGTCACCTGATATCTCACTCTCTGTTGTGTCCTGTTCTTGTATCAGCAATGATAAACTCACAATCAGAACCTGTCTTTGTTGTCTGTACCATGGAAGATGATGTTTGCGATGATGATGATGTCTTATGCCACATGAAGTAATATTCACCCAGTGGTGGTGTGTAAATAGATTTTGTCTGGATTAGATCGAGCATCATCACAAGCATCAATCCATGCAGGAAAGTTTAGTTTGGTTGTTGTATAACGCCGCACTCAGCAATATTCCAGCCATATGGTGGTGGTCTGTAAATAATCGAGTCTGGCACAGACAATCCAATGATTAACAGCATGAACATTGATCTACGTAATTGGGATACAATGACATGTGTCAACCAAGCCAGCGAGCCTGACCATCCAAATTAGTCGCCTCTTACGACAAGTATGGGTTGCTGAAGACCAATTCTAACCCAGATCTTCACAGGTTCCATGCAGAAAAGATATGAGATGCAATGGAAAGATAAAGCAGACATATCTGCCTTATGACCTGAGGCATGTATGTTTTGGTTGACCAAACAAACACATCCATGGAGCATATGAGATCCAGACTGCAGAATCTTCGTACTTCTCCAAATTCATCATTATTCTAGCTAGTAGATGGTTGCCTGTAAATAACGGACTCATACAAGCCAATGATTGACATGAAGAACAGTGCCCCAAGGTACAATGGCAATCGGTATAGTCACCAAGCCTGACCACTGGTACATCTAGGTTGCAGGAGACCTGTTCTAACCTGGAGTCCCCACAGGGATTAACTGACTATGAATCAGGCAGTTACATTTGGGTCAGAGTGCAAGTCAAACTGTTGGCGCATCTTATTTGCACGTGACAGCACACAATACACTGATAAAGAATTACTTATCATTGATGTAATAAACGTAATATAATATATAAAATATTTATTTTGTTACCTTTCCACTCCTTTGAAAGAGATACGCCTTGCTTGAAGTATAAAATTAATATCCTGCAATAATTAGAGTTACCTCCCTTACTTGAAAACGTGGTCTGCTTAGTCTACGACTGGAGTGACTGGACCCATGGAATGAGACAATGAAATATTGTTGTACATGATTTGATGGCACTGCTACTTAGGTACCGATGGGTACCACTGAAACATGCTGACAGATCCAGAGGTGGCAGGTGTGCTCGCCCCCATCACTACGTTTCAGACACAATATGCCAGCTTTTCCGCAAACATGGGTCACGTGTACACCCTTCCCAGAGTTTCTCAAAACCCTGGATATGCTTCATCAATGTTTAAATTTACAGAAAATATGCCAGCACAGACATATTTGTGCATTTTCTTAGATGTTGCAGTAACCAATGGATAAATTGTTATATTTTCTCACAGGTTAATGCTTTATACAGTCAAGTGTGGTTAGATTTAAGAAAATAGATTAAATATTATTAAGTATGTTTTTTCCGAAACTATTACAAGAATACATGAGTTTCAAAGATGCTTCTAAGGTATCATGAATTTAGCATGGTAACACTGCAATATTGAAGCTGAATGACAACATTCAGTATTATAAGTGCATGATGCTATCAACCTAGTCACCCAGCATCACGTTACAGTTTACAACCTGAATAACTTAAGAGATTTGTCACAATCTGTTATTTCCAGGGATTCAGCATGGTATCAAGGACAATAGAATGCACACTGTTATGATAACGTGGTACCTAACTTGGAAAATTAAATGTTTGAAAAAGTTGACTACAGACCAGTGGATATTCTCAAGCTGACATGACTGAAGTAATATTCCAAGTGGGATTAAGCACAGTTTACTTAAATATATTGTGAGATTCAAGCCACAGGCAGTTGATGATATACCATACACAGGACAGGAAACATGTCTGTTTATTACCATTGCTGCATGCATTGGCCATTCAGTGATCGCCCCTTGCCTCCACTGTCTTCACAAGTTTGGTCTTTACAAGATTGTCAGTCAGTATAGACCGCTGCTATAACTGGAATGTTGCTGAGTGTGGAATATGACTATCCTCGCTACTCACCCACTTTTTGGCACAACTGTCAAAGATTTGTGTTCATGAATTCAAAAGAAGTTTCAGTAAAATCACTTCAGGATGCCAAAGACGTCTCTTCGCTGTGAAACTAACAACATTAATAGACAATAAAGATATAGACTACTTTTGAATGTAATATCAGTTTTATCAAGCACGCATTATTGAGGCAGCAGAGTTATATTCTCCCCAGAGAGCTCGTTCAGTCTTACTGATCCCTTGAAAAGTAAGACTAGTAGACACTATGGGGGTATGCTGTTTAGAATTGGCTCTGTTGAGATGCTGGGTTAGAATTTGTCCTCTGTAACATTTTTATGGTAAGATCTAACCAAATGGATCAGGTTTCCCAACTCTTGATTGTGTGTCAATGCACCCTGATGGTGTGGCTCATGATATCAGTTACTGATTGTCTGACACAGATCATTTACGGGCAATATAGTCCGTTTGGCTCAAAATCAGACAGATGACTTGCAATCTAACTAGAAAACTACTAAACATATAATACTCAATGAAACACTGAAGAATAATCAAAACATCAGACCAACTCGGATGTTTTTAAAGAATTATGTCCTAAAAATAAAGAAGTTGTTTAACAAACTATCATTAAATATTTAGACAAAGTTAGCTATTTGTTATGAGGGAGGACTGCAAAGAGAGGAACAGCCAGGTGTTCTCGGAGCACGTGCATAAGTGCAGACAAAGTTATTGAATCATGTACTTGTGCTGTGCTGTCTCCATCCTTTCTCGCACACCTGGCTGTTACTCTCTTTGCACCCCTCCCTCATAACAAATAGTGAATTGCAATTCATTGGTCCGATTTTGAGCCAAACGGACTACAGTAGCATAACAGGTTTGTTGATCACACTAGTGTTAGACAACAAACAGTGAAATATTTGTAGAAATACAACACTATATCCAAAGAAAAACTGCATTTATTGTGCATCAATCATTTTACATCAAGGAGTATATACAAATTGTACGAAAATATCTTTGTCATGATTACGTGGTACAGACACAACAGCTCAGACCAACACACTGTTACAATCAGACAGTTTCCATGGTGTTTTTTTATTTACACAACTCACACAAAACACTTGCTGATATGATAAACATTACAAAATAGATAATTAAGTAGAGAGATGTCCAAAAGCATTCAGAATTGGAAATAATATTTACATATCAGAATCTTTTATTCTCATAGTTAGCAAGTGGTGCGTAACACAGGAATCAGATTTTCTGATATGTTGATGTAAATAATGAAGTTGTATGGGTTTTCACAGTCAAACAACCCTGTCTATAAAAAAAGACATGGATTTACTTTCATAATGTCAATCAGAACTTTGGATTCCTGGGGTCAAGAACTGCTACTATTTAAAGGTCATCCTTTTGTTTATTTTGATAGACAAATTGATAAAAATTCACATGGAAATACTTTGATTGAACTCTAAACACACAAAACAAATCTAGATGAACATCATACTCGATGAGTTCGTGAAGGCACATTTCAATACAGGACATGTTGTTGGTTTACCTGGATCCCACTGTTTCTGTCTTAGCCTACATGGAGCATTATGAAAGAAAGGAAACAATCTGGGGCACGTCTTATTCCCACACATCCTATTTTCCAGTTGCAAAGCAGCATGTGGACAAGGGTAGGTAACTCTTACTACCCAGCAGCATGTGAACAAAAAGGGTGGGTAAGGTGGGTAACTCTTACTACACAGCAGCATGTGAACAAAGGGTGGGTAACTCTTACTACACACAGCATGTGGACAAGGGCAGGTAACTCTTACTACACAGCAGCATGTGGACAAGGGTGGGTAACTCTTACTACACAGCAGCATGTGGAACAAAGGTGGGTAACTCTTACTACACAGCAGCATGTGGACAAGGGTGGGTAACTCTTACTACACAGCAGCATGTGGACAGGTGGGTAACTCTTACTACACAGCAGCATGTGGACAAGGGTGGGTAACTCTTACTACACAGCAGCATGTGAACAAAGGTGGGTAAGCATGTCTAACTACTACAGCAGCATGTGGACAAGGGCAAGTAACTCTTACTACACAGGTAACTCTTACTACACAGCAGCATGTGGACAAGGGTGGGTAACTCTTACTACACAGCAGCATGTGGACAAAGGCATTTAACTCTTACTACACAGCAGCATGTGGACAAGGGCAGGTAACTCTTACTACACAGCAGCATGTGGACAAGGGCAAGTAACTCTTACTACACAGCAGCATGTGGACAAGGGCAGGTAACTCTTACTACACAGCAGCATGTGGACAAGGGCAGGTAACTCTTACTACACAGCAGCATGTGGACAAGGACAGGTAACTCTAATCACACAGCAACAAATGGGCAAGTTGTTATATCTCCTGAGACAACTAAACTGACCATTCTGGGTATAAAACATAAATGAAGAAATCAGAAAACAAGATTAGGAGGTGGGATAAGGGCTGTCATCTATGTTGGAGCTGGACAATTGTCTGCTGTGAATTCAATGTTTTATGAGAAAGGATGAACTGATCATTGGCAAAACACATGCTACATTTCTACACATTCAGCAGGTGCTGAGGACAATTTATTTATTTGATAATAAACAAACAGATGTTATTTATCCAGCATTTACATGCACAGGTTACTTGTCCAAAAACATCCCTGGGCCCCTGTCCAAATATCAAAAGGTGGACACCTACAGCCTTAATCAACCACAGTAACACTCCACTTTCTGTGCCTACAATATCTCCAATATCATCTGGACTTTATCACAGAAATACAATTATGAATTGCACATTGTGTTGGTCATCATTTTGTTCATATCATTTCATTTTATCACACTAGTTTCACATTTTCTACTCACTAAAATTCAAGATAGTCCGACAAAATGTTGACTATAACAAGCAACATTGTCTACATATATATATATATATAGATATAGATCTTTATATATAGTTGCATAAAGGTTATATATAACCTCATCCCAAGTGAAGCCAATTAAACAACTGTGTCTAATGCTGTATACCAGTCTAACAACTTCAGAAAAACTGCATCATTACAAATAGTTTAGCCAGACCCAGAACCAGTAGATTTGACATAAGGGAAAATTGATAAGGTTAATTTGATTTGATTTGAGGAAAAAATTATTAGGAACATTTGATTTGACATAAGGGAAAATTTATTAGGATGATTTGATTTGATTTGAGGAAAACATTATTAGGAACATTTCATTTGACATAAGGGAAACTTTATTAGGATAATTTGATTTGATTTGAGGAAAAATTATTAGGAACATTTAATTGGACATAAGAGAAAATTGATAAGGAACATTTGAGTTGACAAAAGACAAATTTGAACATTTGATTTCTCTTAAGAGAAATATGATTGGAACATTTGCTTTTGCTTAAGGTAAAATTAATAAGGAACATACGAGTTTACTTAAATAAAATTGATAATGAACATTTGAAAAGAAGAATAGATATAAGAGTAACTTTTGATTTGACATGGGTAATGGGAGATAATCCCGATTCATAGTATACATATTGCAACTTACATTAGTAGGATCATGTGCTCATGATACCTTCTATGAATCAAATACAATGCTTTTTCCATGATCTCCAGTCATGGATTCATCTCAACTCATCCAATGTCAAAATAGGAAAGTTACAGGTAATTTGACACTGAAGGATATCTACATTAATCAGTTTGCACAGGTGGAGTTAGTTTGGAGACACATGCTATATCAGGTAAAATTATTCCTGATGCAGATTTTCTAAAGTTATTTTGCCAGTATTTGTCATGGAAAGTGAGATTAATTGCACTTTGAAAGATCACACTTTTTATACCAGTGTTTGCATTCATGTTTATAAACAATCGCTTCTTTTAAGATGTACAAAAATATCTAAAAAAAAGGTTTATAAGGGTATGTTATACACACAAATAATTACTGGTTTAACAGCTGTTCACGGATGTCAACACATCCTGAATTAAACCAATTTGTTCTTTTTCGCAAACATTCCCCAATAAACCAACAGACTAGATCATCTATGTCCAGTTGGATAAACATTATACAAAATATACAATATCATATTTTATTACTGTTGCTAGGCTATGAATGTGATGTGAAAACATCAATGTTTAAAAACACATTTTGGCTTGGTTTTCAATGCATAGAGTATCGATAATGCAGTTTCACCAATAACAGCATGTACACATTGGTGATTTATCATTGGAATCATGGCAAGATTATATTCTGCACATTCTTCAAAAACCTTGGACTAAAACAGTCCCAAAAGCTAACAATGTTTAACACTTCATGTAAAGTACTGATACACGTAATGGTGTCATCCTGTCAAATTCAGTGGTTTTCAGTGACAACAGTTAGGACAGACACGTATCATCCAGCCGTCACTGATAATAACTATAATACTGTAGAAGGTTTCTTGGTTTCAGGGACCTCCTTTTGAAAGACAACATTATTTTGTATAATTATCAGGCTAACCAACTCAAAATTATACAACAATGAGTGTTTGTTTGTTGTTCTATGGCGCACTCAGCAATATTCCAGCTATATGGTGGCGGTCTGTAATAATCAAGTCTGGACCAGACAATCTAGTGATCAACAGCATGAGCATCGATCCATGCAATTGGAAACATCAGTGAGTGAGTGAGTTAAGAGTGAGGCTTGACCAGTATTCCAGTCATATCATGGGATCTCAGTTTCACGTAGGAGGAGAGCCCGAAGTAACACAAGTTTTCAGGGTTTAGTTACATGGGTATTGGTCTAATATTCAAAGGGGCATAATCATGGTGTCATTCAAACCAAATATCATCAGATCCTTGCATGCCAATGGGACATAACTCTGCACAGCAAATTGTGGTTACTTAAACATTGGCGCTATCTGTGCTCCCTACACAACAATATTAGTACTTAAGTGGGCAGTTGTGTGGCTTAGTGGTCAAAGCATTTATTCATCATAATGGAAGTTTGGGTTCAATTCCCCACATGGTCACAAAGCCCATTTCTTAACTTTAGTGTGAGTCTTTACTCACTAACTCACTCACTTACTAAAAACAATGAACATCTCTCAATCACATTCACATTAGCTATGATACATGCATGTAATATTATGTGTGAACATAATCGCCTACAGCAGGTCTTTGGATAGCATTTAGAAGTGATACACATAAGGAAGAGAGTTTTTAATGGATGTCAACTTCTTTATCATAAGAACACGTTTCGCATTATATCCTTAATCCTTACTCCACCTGATGAAGGAGTAAGGATATACTCCAAATCGTTTTGTTCCTCATAATAAAGAATTTGACATCCATAAAAACTCTCCTCCTTAGATTACAACACTCTTGATAGGGATATTTGTATCTTTCCATGATATTAAAACTGATTATCATGTCAAGTATACTTTGAAATATGTCTGACACAATTGGAAATCCCTATGAAACAGTGAGTAGTATATGAATACCCTGTCCAAGTTTGTCTCCAATACACAGGCTAACCATCACATCACGAGACATCAACATATCAATCTCTGTGAATGAAACCCTTCAACTGAGGGATTTTGGAATATTGATAACCAAGACATATTCACAAGTCACAAATGTAAAACTCACATACAAAAGAATGTATACATCTGGTGTTTTGCGATTTCAAAAACAACCCGATGTAAATATTTTGAGAAATGTAGGTGTGACTTGCAAGTCACTGAGACATTGAATACATGCCTTTTATATCAGCTGCAGGTATTATGCACCTAAGGCACAAAAATCATGGTAGATTTCCAAACTCGGCTTAAAACTTGATTTCAGGTAAATATATCCAAACAGTTGTAGCATGGGAGAGCAAAAGTTTTGAGATCACCATCATAATTTTTATGTGATTTTTCTAACATTGAAATATAGCACTCAAAAGAATTTAAGAACAACACACGTTTGTCATGTTATCATATTATGTCATGTCAGATTACCATAGTATTATGAAAGAACTGGCTGATCCTTAACCTCTAGTGAGTAGTGTTTTATCCCATTTCACTTGATTTTTTTATGGGATGAACTGTCAATGAAATGATTGCTTTAAAAATGTAAAGAAATATGAATATCATATAATGTTTGGCATCAGTAGCAGAAGACTGAAGCATGGTTATTTATAAACTCTGCATGGAGCTAAGGGATTTATTTCAACCATGACAAATGGCTTGTGCATCATATGACATTAACTTGTGGAATAATAACAAAAACATTTTGTTAATATGAGACAAATAGTCCCAAGCCTTATGACTTCTTTCACTGGAATTCATAATCGTGAAAAGCAGTTTGAATGTGTTTCCATGGCAAAGACCATGATCTGTTAGCAGGTAAATCAATGATACCTAGAAATGTCAAAACATGCCAGAATCTGAATTACTTTGGTGGAGTATGAGATCCTGTCTGATAATTACCCATAAAAGGGGCTCCTCTGTCCTGCAGACTGGCCCAAAACAAGATGAAGTATCACCAACATACAACATAGAAAACTGAGTGATCATATAGTAGGATCAGGTTTGATACAAGACAAGATCCAAATGTCCACTTGTAACTGAAACCGTCAAGTTGTGACCCAGAGAAAGACAATAGACAGCCATGGTTTGCATTGTATGTATTACACTGACATATTTACATAAATATACAATAGATTACAATGGGTTTATACCTAAAGGGTTGGTTTAGTATTAAAAGGGTTAAACTACAATACATAACAATGGGTTTATACCTACAGGGTTGGTTCAGTATTGAAAGGGTTACATTACAATACATAACAATGGGTTTATACCAACAGGTCTTTGGCATGACAAACAATTTAACCACTGGGCTACCCTACTGCCCGACAATGTGATTATACCCTCCCAGCCTTAATGCATGAGTTAGTGCTTACTACATGGAGTTATATGCTACAAGAAGATTGCAATGCATTACAAATTCTATCAATGCTGGGTATTTAGATTCTTTATGCCCACACCAAGTCTAGGTTTAGGGCGCATTTGGGATTTCAAGGGAGGTAACAAGTTTATAACATTGCAAGTTCATATATCAAGAGTTAAAGATTTAACTGTGCCAAGGTTTAATATCTGGATTTGAGTTGGAATTTAATTATTTCAGCTTTCAGTTTTCAAAGCATGAGGTGGAATTTGATTATATCAGATTTTAGTCACGTGAGTGAGTATTGGTTTTACGCCGCTTTTAGCAATACTCCAACAATATCACAGCGGGGGACACCAGAAATGGGCTTCACACATTGTACCCATGTGGGGATTCGAACCCGGGTCTTCGGCATGACGAGTGGACGCTTTAACCACTATGCCACCCCACCGCCGAATGTCATCAGAGTATTAGACTGAATTTAATTAAATTTGATTGTATTTACAATATGGGATCAAATTTAAGTGAGTGAGGTTTTATGCCACTTTCAGCAATATTCCAGCAATATCACGGCTGGGGACACAAGAAATGGGCTTCACGCATTGTACCCATGTAGGGAATCGAACCCGGGTCTTCGGGGTGACGAGCCAACGCTTTAACCACTAGGCTACCCCACTGCCCTTAGTCACAATTAAGTACTTCTTTATGAACACCACACCATGATATGAAGTTTGAGGCAGTTAGAAATAACAGTTTCAATATATGAGCTGACAATGCTAGCCCAACACAAACATGACACTAAAACATTAAATATCTGTATGCATGGAACAAAAACACTACAGAGATATAACACTAAACTACACAAAGAACGACAAATACCAACCAAAGTATTGTTTCAGCACTATCACAGACTTGTGTACTCTTCAGATCTATGGCAAAGTGTAGCTAATGCCCACCGTGAGTCATTATAATAAGTGAGATAAATAATACACTGATAATAATACACAGAACACAACAACACTTCCCCATCCTGTTCAACATGGCCATTTTGGATGTTCAATATATACTCCCCATCAAAAGTTTAGACTCACTAGTGTAAATGTAGCCACTTACTTCAGTCAACTGTTCTAAACTAGACTTTGCAAACTATTCAATACTGATTGAAGGTACTGTTTACACATGAACTGATGTATTGTAAAACAAATTTGTAACGTTGATAAGGTTATTGTCATGAGTTAAATAAATGATGAAACTCCGTGAAAATTGGCAAATTCTGAAGGAAACTTTACACCAAAACGCAGCTGTTCACGTGCACCATATTTGCACATGCTTTTCAGCAAGTTGATGCATGATCCTCGTGCAATTCATCTGCATAAGGTTTGCAGTTGGTTCCCCCAATTTAGTGGAGAAATTCATCTTCGATGTAATAATACATAACATATAGTGAGTGCTTTAAGTGAGTCTAAACTTTTGATGGGGAGTATAGAACCAAAGGCCAATATGAAACTTCAGGCCCAGAAATGCCCTTATTTGTGTGCATGGCACGTTTCCACAAATGAGGCCAACCTTGTGGTTATTTCTGGTTGTGTCATGTACAAAACTGACACCTGGGGTCAGACAATTGTTCTTGGAGGTCCTGACCCCTCAGTGTACATTACCGTAAATCTTTGAATACATGCTGGAAATTCTCAATCCTGTTATTTACTGTGCCAAGTCATATTTTTCCGACCTGTTCTCTTTTGGCATTACATTTTTCCAGATTTTGTTTCAAATGTTAGATATATTAAAAGTGTCTTCTAGAATTTCACAGGTTTCAAAGAAATACAGATTGATCTGGCATTTATTCTTGGACAGCACAGTATTCAAGGTCAGCATTTATGTAAGGATTTATGGTAATCATAAATATAAGCAATAATTTTGTTGATGTGGTTAGGATCTCATATTTCAATATCATTTGGGGTACGTTATAAGTAATGATCTCGCAATAACACAGCTCTGTTACAAACCAGTTGGTTACATTCTGATGCCTGAATGGATGAGGTGCTAGTGTTTACCACTTCAGGTAATGCCCTAAGTGTTCTCTAAACAGAGTGTCTGCAAAAAGGTGTAGAGTATGAAATAATATAAAATGACTATTATGGCCAAAGACTGGTTGCCAGGGCAGTTAAACACAACACAACACAACACTGGACAAAATAACATTATGGCTTGTGGTACATTGTCATGAAATTCAAGTATAAATAACATGTGTTTGGAAATATATAACTGTTGTGTCATGAGCATAGAATTCACTGACTTGATGAAGGATTGAAAGAACAGGGTAATATTTGTGAACATCACAGGGATCGTAAGGCTTTGTAAGGCAACAATGTAGGACTTCCATCAGCACACAACACTCATACATCATCATCCTCAGAATCATATTTCTGCTTTTTTACATCAAAATGAAATTTCTGTACTAAAAAATTATTTTGTAACTTCTAACTGCAATGCTGTAATGCATTTAAAAATTCATCTTTGATTGAAAATGAAAAAGAAATTGTCCAGTTTTGTAGACAAATCTACCAAAACAATGCAAATACTTAGAGCTTTTTCAATGTTAGCCTTTTGCTGTTGTATTATTTCACGTAACATCATAAATATCATGATGTCACATCCTGCATTCAGCTCTAAATAATTCTTGACAAATGGTTTCAATATTGTACATTCACATTCAGTTCTTTAAACCTACCGGTATTCAGTTAATAAAATCTTAAAACTTATATTTTTATAACGGCAGACATCTAATGCAGGGCCTTGTACATGAAGGCAATGGTTTCTTGAAAGTTACAGCACTCCGACTGAAATGCTACCAAGCATGTATTGGGTGTGTATTTCCTTGTACACAATGCACAAAGTAACTATTATTCTATCAACTTCAATAGTTTTGTCTCCATTAGGTCTGGAAAATGTTCCTACCAAACACTGGGAGAATTTCACTGTGAATGTACTGCTGATGAATGCTATGGTGGTGTCGAGTCAGAACATGTTGCCGTGATCCAAGGTTCTATCCTGGATGTGTGTGACCTCTGTGACGTCTCAGCATCAAAATCAGCTGAGATCTAGTATGGTTCCCATGACAACATGTTCCCGTGTCCCTTCCAACACACTATCAAACTGGTTCCCTTTGCCTGAGTCAGTGCAGTCCTGGCCTGAAGACAAAAAGTAAAGTATGCTGATGACAAATAATTCACAAATCTATTACTGCATTACTAAAGAGGCTGGTATTTCTGCTTCAACAAAACTGGTATCTTGTAAGGTTCTTGCGAGGCATGTAGAAGCTGGTATTCAAGTATAGGACAACATATTATGGATGTCAACTTCTTCTTTATTCTATATACAACGTTTCGGGGCTTCTCCTTGCCCCTTTGTCAAGTGAATGGTAACTAAGGGGCAAGGAAAAGCCCAGAAACATTGTATATAGAATAAAGAAGAAGTTGACATCCATAATATTTTGTCTGATACTTGATATCTTGTATCTCAAGAGAAATCATTACAGACCTGAACATCATGATAAACAGTGATAAAGATACAATTGTGGATTTCTTTGCACGTTTAAGGTAAGTCATTAAACATCCAGCTAGTTTTTCACTCAGAAACAATAATACACTCCACCCCACTTATCCAGACCCCAGATATCAGGAAACCTCACACAAAAGACAATATTTATGTGAAACATTATGCTTATAGTTATCATTATTTTATATATAGCTTAGTTTTGTCTGAAAGTTCCCATTAATATTAACCAAGTTTGTTGTCCCCAGTTTCTTCACATGAACTTGCTAATCTAGATTTTTTATCAGATTCTGATAATGACCTCCTTTCTATGATCACCTTTCTACAACATACTTAAAGCCAATTTAACCAAAAACATTGTAACATATTTTCATTTGAGAGACTTAAAGTCACTCATACCAAGGTGTTTCCAGAGGAATCCCAGAGTTCCACAGCGGATGATGTCCATGGCTACATGTGGTGTGAGCTTGTTCCGCAGGTTAAACAGGCGACCCATTGCCTTGCTGGTGAGGAACTGGAAGTCGGAGACACTCTGGTGGCACGTCCCCCTGCAGGACAGACGAGGGTAAACAAACTGATGATGTCAACAGCATGAAAACCAAAACAGATCAAGTCTCACTCTAAGAGAAGACATTTCCAGAAGAATATACCAATCAGATACATAAATATGAGATTCAACACAGTAAGCCATGATTATAAAAAACTCAAAGGGACCTCTAATTTTAGTTTGTTTTAACCGTAGTTATTAATACACAGCTTGACTCAACTATATCTAAGTGCTAGAGACACCTAAACAGTTTGTTATATCCGTCAGTTCATTATATACATAGTTTACTGTAACAAAAACCTTGGAATCTGAGTGAGGTGCTTTGCTCAATCTAACATATACTGGATGTGATGTTACTCCCACACTCATGATGACCTACAGTAATGTATGTGACCTGCTGTGATCAATATGACACACAATATAACTTGATAAACTCACAGTATGTGTACCTAATAAACACTATTACCCGGGGCTGTGGGGTAGCCTAGTGGCTAAAGCGTTCGCTCGTCACGCCGAAGACCCGGGTTCGATTCCCCACATGGGCACAATGTGCGAAGCCCATTTCTGGTGTCCCCCGCCGTGATATTGCTGGAATATTGCTAAAGCCGTAAAACCATACTCACTCACTCACTCACTACTACCCTCTATAACACCTGCTACTCTTGTCCATGTGTGGCTCTCTCTGTGACCTTTAACCCCTATGTGACCTTGAACCTCTAAGTTATCATGACCCGTTCCTGACCTGCTACACTGTGACCCTTTACATGTGTGACTTGCTACTCTGTTAGCCCATTGACCATGCATGTGACCCCTGACCTTTCATTTGACCCATGAACTTCAACCCTCTAAGTCACACATGATCCTCTATGAAAGCTGCTACACTGCATATGACCTTACATGTGACCTGTTGCACAACATGACCAATGTGACCTTTTATTCTCTATGAGACCACAAACCTTTTTCTGACCCTGAACTTCTAATGTGATCTGGCACACTTGAGTGAGTGAGTGAGTTTAGTTCACGACCCCGGACTCAGCAATGATTCCAGCTATATGGCGGTCTGCTAGTCTGGATCAGACAATCCAGTGATCAACACTTCCATGAACATCGATGCTGTACTGTTCCACCAAGAGCAGCGAACATCGACCACCGATCCCGTTCCATGTGATGTGCCTCTTTACGACAAGATAGTGATCCTTGCCCTTCCATGGCAAGCACATGTGGTTGCTCTAAGACCTATTCTACCCGGATCTTCAGACGGGAATGATACTTGATGTGACCTGCTATACCTGTATGTGCTGTACTGTTCTTCTCCATGTGATCCTTGAAACTTTCCGTGACCCGGAACCCATGGACCTGTTCGCGACCCTTGAATTTCCACTGACCTGACACTTTATGTGATCTGCTACACTGTAACTTGTTGCTCTCATTCTGACCCTTGAACTTTTATGTGTCTTCATATATATCTGACCCCTATGACTTTAATCTGTGACATCTATGTGACCTTGACTGGATGTGACCTGTTACCCTCGATGTGATCCTTGACCTTCCATGAACTACTACAGTCTAGATCTTCTATACTCCTAGTGACTTGTCACTCTCTATGACCTTGACCCTGACCTTGACCCTGGATGTGACCTTCCATGTTACCTCGATGTGATCCTTGACCTTCCGATGTGATCATTGACCTTCCATGTGAACTACTACAGTCTATGTGATCTTCTATACTCCTAGTGACTTGTCTCTCTCTATGTGACCTTGACCCTGGATGTGACCTGTTACCCTCGATGTGATCCTTGACCTTCCATGTGAACTACTACAGTCTATGTGATCTTCTATACTCCTAGTGACTTGTCACTCTCTATGTGACCTTGACCCTGGATGTGACCTGTTACCCTCGATGTGATGACCCTGGATGTGACCTGTTACCCTCGATGTGATCCTTGACCTTCCATGTGAACTACTACAGTCTATGTGATCTTCTATACTCCTAGTGACTTGTCACTCTCTATGTGACCTTGACCCTGGATGTGACCTGTTACCCTCGATGTGATCCTTGACCTTCCATGTGAACTACTATAGTCTCAGTGACTATCACTCTCTATTGACCTTGACCCTGGATGTGACCTGTTCCTAGTGAGCTTGACCTTTCATCTGAACTACTACATATGTGATCTTCTATACTCCTAGTGACCTGTCACTCCTGACCTTGACCCTCCTCTACCTGTTATATTCTACTTGACTTCCAAAACTTACTTAATAGTCAGCATGAGCCTCTCTACATTGTCATCGGTCTTCAGACGCATCATCTGCTGCACGGTTTTCCTCCACTGGAAGGTCTCCATGTTGAGCATCAGGATGGGCTGACTCACTGTCTTGTATACCTTGTCGTCAAGAGGATGCATCCACCCATCCACCACCACACCAGCCCTGTGCACAACATGTTACAATGAATACAGGTGATGGACAAATGCAGGAAATAAACTAAAAATAACAACTGCACTCTCCCGACCCCTAGGATCTGCCTGTGAGTACTTTGACCAGTCAATCAGACTATTTGTCTCAAGTACATCTCAGTAATATCACAATGGCCAGCAAATCATGTAAGTAATCTCATTAATTACTTAACTGTTGCTACCACTTCACAAACATCCAAGGACACTCCATTAGACCATGTCAGAACAACCTTCAGGACAGACTGAAGGTGCTTTCTAATCATGCCACCTTGAGAAGTTTAACAGTGAATTTCAAACCACAATTTTGAAATGAAAGACACTTTTTATCCAGAGTCAAAGAATGATATGATTTAACTTTCATCAAGACAGGAATGAAGGTAGAATTCTTTCCTTATTTCTGACAATGCAACATATTAGTAAAGAATCCTGTACCTTTAACATGCAAACTGAGAAAAAGTCAGTCAATCCTGTAAATGTCATTATCAACATGGGCGGATCCAAGGTTCTGACTGGGTTCAGGGGGTTCGAAAACCCACCCCCCACCCACCCTTTTGAAAATGACTTAAGACCCCATTGAAGATGTTTTTGCGTTGGCAGAGCCAGAGGGGAGTTCTGGGGTTTAAAAAAACAACCAACCCCCACCCCCCTTCAAAATTCCTGGATCCGCCCATGATCAAGGTAGAGGTGTGATCAAGTGTCACTTCATAACGTGATGCTGTTTCAACATTCATCCAAGAATTGTGTGTTGTACCAAAAATATGTGCATAAAGAAACAATGAGCAAATGATTGAATTCTCATGCTACTTACTTAAACCTTTCATCATCTGCCAGTGCACAGACACAGGTGGAGCCACCAAACGAGTGACCAATGATGGAAGCTTCTGTGATGTTCATTGTATCCTGAAGGAAATACATGATTATACATAGTGTGTCAGTCTTGCTTTCATTTCAATGAGTGGCTTATACATGTGTTACACATGCTATATTGGGGATTACACTTTCCCACTAATGGCATTCATATACACATGTTGTGATTCCAGTAGGTTGAGTGCATGGCCTAGCTCTCGATTATTTTAGTTGATTAAACACAAGTAATATTTGAAAATATGTGCTCATAAGCAGACACTGAACATACATACATCATAACAAAACGATTCAATGGCTAAATAATGCAGATCATGAAAAAATAATCACAATATTTGAAACTGTGGCCTTGCCGAAACAGGAAGCATGTACAGCATTGCACACATCCAGCCCCCAAAAGAACAAATAAAGAACTACTGGTGATAAATTTCCCGAATAAATTCAAATTCATGCAAAATGCAAAATTAAATACAATGTTAATTTTTTAATCACCTTCATATTTACAGCTATTTGACTTTGGTATCAACTGTGGTTGTCTTTCCTCCATTGTTAAACATTGTTATGCAATATTGTCGGCAATTCGAAGATAATTTTACTTCTAGATCCTAAGTCATAATGCATTCCACAAATTTTCCAACATTTTATGTGAAACTTCATATTCATTGACTATTTTATGAATATATGTATCATGCAGTTGCTAATATTTTATCATGTTCAGAAAAGCATAAATGCTATTTAGAAACACAAATTTTGTCATGCCCATTTTCACGCACCTGTTGTAAAACTTTAGGGCAGGCATTTGCAAACTTTAGTAAACCATTTGTAAATCACCCAGAAACAAATATTGTTGTTTCCAAATTATGATAATTACAAACAAATCATTCAAAAAGGGCCCGTGGATAAAACTTTACCAATGATCTCTGTTAAAAGTTGAACTGGAATCTGAGTCCAGCCATTTGAAATGTGTACATCTAACAAACAATTGCTTCTAATAGCTGCATAGATCTGTATCACTTCAGCAAGATAATATCTATACATAATAAATGTGTATCAGTTAATCAATGTATTAAAATACCAATGTATCAATGCATCTTTCTTTCCACTTCAGCTCAATTTATCTATATAAACATTTTGATATAAACATAAACAACTGACCATTTTTAAAGAGATCATGTTTAAATATCTTGACAAATTTATACTGTGTCAAATGTCAGCCATATGGTACAGGAACCATTTTACAATATCTAAGATATTAATTAGTGTTTAAAACTCTTGAATCTCTTTGAAACCTTCAATGATATTATCCTAACCACCGTCTCTGTATGTGTATATACCAAACATACAGGAGGATCGAGTATTGATCTCAGTAATCAGAGCACATACAGTTCAATGTGCTATAATGTGCTATAGTGTCGGCCGTTGATCATGTATCAATACTGACCACAATACTTGTATTTCTTCTATACAATGTGTTAAGATACCCAAGTCGGGATCAATACAACTGCCTCTTTATACCACACACAGACTCGTTCACTTTACCTAATGAGGTGTGTGGCTCACAATGACATTAACATAAGAAACAGAGCTGATTACAGTTTTATGGAAATTATTTTTTTTCAAGAAACAGCCATTTATGATCCTGACATTGTAAGCAACACAACTTAACCTTAGATTTGATTAGCGAAACGAAGGTTTGCCAGATAATTTGTTTTCTAATATTTGTACAGAAAGCATTTTTGGTGCATATAATTCAATTTCAGTCAAAAGGTACTTGTGTAGACAAATGTTGATATTGTAATAATCAGAATATTATACCATTATATTTTTATTCTGTCGTAATCATTTTAAATTAATCAAAATGATTAACAGTCTTTTTTTCTACTGCAATCTTCAAAATTCAGACAAATGTTGATTTTGTAATAATTAGAATATTATAATATATGTTTATTCTGTCTTTTTGATCATTTTAATTTTCAAAATGATCCAAGATAATTAATAACTATGGCACACCAAGAAAGAAACTGGTGTCCTCAATAAAAATTGATTACAGCTTTCGGTGCATTAAAACATTTACCTTAAAGTGACTTGTGTTGATTATTATTCCAAGGGAGTTGTACAGGGGTTTGCCGTCATTCAGATCTTTGAGGATATCCAACACACGGCTACACTCCCCCCGCTCTTTGGTGAACCTGTAATATTGAAACAACATGGCATTGATACATCACAAGTGATGAATCATTCCACTTGAATAGTGGTGGGTTACTATTTGACATTCTGAAATCAAGCATCTTACACTGAATTGTTTGTATTCAGTCCTTGACTAACATACTATTATGTTTTCGTATTTCACTGCTCAAAAAAACCACACTCTTCTGTTATATTTAAATCAGGTTTAAGAAAATGTCAAGAAACATAGTCCCAAAACTAAAATTTAAGGAGGGATCTATGATAAACTTAAATAGTGAGTGAGTTAAGATTTTTAGCCTGATGTCAGTAAGTTTCAGCCATATCGTGACTAACTTAAATAATAGATGTCACCTAATCATATCAAATATAATTATTGTTATCTGCAAATTAGTTTCTTAAACATGTCAAATAACAGAATTAATAAACACCTGATCTTTTTTAATATGATCATAGTTAATATGTCATGACTGAAAGGTATTGCCACACAAGTCTTCCAATTGTCTGTGTTCTTTAACACGAGTTACATTGTGACTCCACTAATCTAAAGATCTATATTCTTTTTGTTTAACGTGTATTGCTAAATTTCTAATGCATATCAAAACTGCTCCTGTGGTCTATCTATGTCTTACATCATTCTGTTACAAAATTCCACAGTCTCTGTTGGTAATCCCATGGGGTACTATTAGGTTACAACTAGCTACATATCAATCAAATAATTTTCATATTTGTAGATCTGATTACTAAGAAGCTGAAACAAGGCACTAAGATTGATATGTATATGTCTCCATGAGATAGGGATCACATGAACATATGCTGAACGTGATATCCATGAGACATTATGATACCACTAACTGAAATAATTAAAGGTAGTAGTCGTATGGTAATCATGATCTGTTATCAGCTGTCAACCTCAGAAATTAACATAATTATGATGGTTATCTCCTAACTTCAACCCGCAACACCTTACACAGCTATTTGTTGCTAATCATTGTAATTGTACAAATGACCCCTTCCCTGACGTCTTACACACACATCATTATGAAATGTTCTGCTAGGAATCTCTTTTAACCTGTTTATTTCTGTAGTCAAAGTCATCCCACTGGATGTGTTTGGGTTTGTCAAATTTTTTCCAGTCCTCACTGAAGCTGTTGCGGTGGTGATGATGACTGTGGCTGCCGTCGTCTGCATGTCGGACGGAGTGACGGAAGCTCTCCCGGAGGCAGAGAGTCATGGAAGCAGATCCATCCCTGCAAAATAATTTCTTTTTTTAATTCAACAAAACCCTGAAAAAGTCCTTGATGTAATGTAATAACGAAAGTAAGTATTTTTTTCAAGATTTACACCAGTCTTGAAACGATCAGACTAGCGGTATTCGCTAACTTTGACTTTATGCTTACATATCCTCATAACTAGACCAACCCTTAATCTCTGAACATACATAAATTTGATATAAACAAATAATTTCATTTAAATTTCAAGAGGAGCCCCTGCAAGATGGGTGATGAACCTTAGGACATCTACACTTGCTTGTTTTATTTATGGATTTAGCATTGCAGAAAGAAAATCAGGGCTGAAAATATTGTGGTTCAGGGACTGTGAGACAGACTACCTCGTAACATATTTAACAATATTTTACCATGTTTATAAACATGTCCATGATATTTGTCAATATCTCAACCCATATTTTCTATGATACTGTTGACCATGTTTAAGAGGATCAGGTGGTCCAAGGGCTCAACGATTATGGCAAAGAACGCTTGCAACCAATCAGATATTTTAGCTAAGCCAGTGTGGCCTAGTACCCTGACAGTGTAATAATCAATGTTCACTATCAGAAACAGGCTTACCCACTCCAGATCGGAGTGTGTCTGACAAGCTATGTTGACTACACTTGGCTTGAGTAATGGCCCTGCTTTCCTATCCCAAACAGAGAGATTATCAGTTCATTTATATATATTGGTTTTGTCTTGATAAGACTTCAATCATATTTATCACATTAATTTTCTGATCAAAATTAACTCCCAGGTTTGTTTGGTAAGTAATCTACAATTAAATATTCTGTTATAATCAATTAAAAATACAGTTTGAAAATATTGACTTAAAAGTTATTGGTATTTTCTCCAAAAGGTCATCAATTACAAATTCTAATAATGCTTTGTTGGTCATGGAGCTGATCTATATAACCATATTTAGAAGAATAAAAACACAAAAGAAGTTTATTTCTTAAATGTCCTTTTTATGTAAGAAACTTGTTGATCCAACGAAGACGTGTCATGACACCATTTCAAGAAAGTTCTAAAATGCCTTCCAGTACTACCAGTATTCTCGAGCACAGGATCCATTCTACTTGGTAGAGCAATGGTAATCTTAAAGAGATCCCATCTGTACACTAGAGCCCGCTTCCTGATAGCTATAGCAACTCACTGAGTGATCATTAACACTTGTAGCAACACAGGCTTCTCATTTGCACTTTACCTCTCCTTCACCCATTCCTTATCACCTCTGTTTCACAGATCTACTTTTGCTCCATTACATAATGTACTGCCATGCTCTTCCAGCTTTGTTTTGCACGTCTGGCTACATATGCTCAGACAGGGTTATCCAGCTTTGACCATAAACCCCAAAACACTCCATTGACATCTGTAGAACACTGGCCCTGATGATCTGTTCCTTATAAACCTCACCTGAGGCCCACTCTAAACATCAGTACAACACTGGGCCCATTTGGTCCTGTTAAACCTCACCAGAGGCCTACACTCAACATCCATACAACAATGGGCCCATTTGGTCCTGTTAAACCTCACCAGAGGCCCTACTCTAAACATCAGTACAACACTGGGCCCATTTGGTCCTGTTAAACCTAACCAGAGGCCCACTCTAAACATCAGTACAACACTGGGCCCATTTGGTCCTGTTAAACCTCACCAGAGGCCCACTCTAAACATCTATACAACACTGGGCCCATTTGGTCCTGTTAAACCTCACCAGAGGCCCACACTCAACATCTATACAACACTGGGCCCATTTGGTCCTGATAAACCTCACCAGAGGCCCACTCTCAACATCTATACAACAATGGGCCCATTTGGTCCTGTTAAACCTCACCAGAGGCCAACACTCCTACCAACATCTTTACAACAATGGGCCCATTTGGTCCTGATAAACCTCACCAGAGGCCCACTCTCAACATCTATACAACAATGGGCCCATTTGGTCCTGTTAAACCTCACCAGAGGCCCACTCTCAACATCTATACAACAATGGGCCCATTTGGTCCTGATAAACCTCACCAGAGGCCCACTCTCAACATCTATACAAAATGGGCCCTCACCAGAGGCCCAGACTCTCTCAACATCTATACAACAATGGGCCTATCTGGTCCTGATAAACCTCACCAGAGGCCCACTCTCAACATCTATACAACAATGGGCCTATCTGGTCCTGATAAACCTCACCAGAGGCCCACTCTCAACATCTATACAACAATGGGCCTATCTGGTCCTGATAAACCTCACCAGAGGCCCACTCTCAACTATACAACAATGGGCCTATTTGGTCCTGATAAACCTCACCAGAGGCCCACTCTCAACATCTATACAACAATGGGCCTATCTGGTCCTGATAAACCTCACCAGAGGCCCACTCTCAACATCTATACAACAATGGGCCTATCTGGTCCTGTTAAACCTCACCAGAGGCCCACTCTCAACATCTATACAACAATGGGCCCATTTGGTCCTGTTAAACCTCACCAGAGGCCCACACTCAACATCTATACAACAATGGGCCCATTTGGTCCTGTTAAACCTCACCAGAGGCCTACACTCAACATCTATACAACACAGGGCCCATTTGGTCCTGTTAAAAGGCCTCACCAGAGGCCCACTCTCAACATCTATATACAACAATGGGCCTATCTGGTCCTGATAAACCTCACCAGGGCCCCCATTTGGGTCCTGTCCTATAAACCTCACCAGAGGCCCACTCTCAACATCTATACAACAATGGGCCTATCTGGTCCTGTTAAACCTCACCAGAGGCCCACTCTCAACATCTATACAACAATGGGCCTATCTGGTCCTGTTAAACCTCACCAGAGGCCCACTCTCAACATCTATACAACACTGGGCCCATTTGGTCCTGATAAACCTCACCAGAGGCCCACTCTCAACATCTGATAAACCTAGTACAACAATGGGCCCATTTGGTCCTGTTAAACCTCACCAGAGGCCAACTCTCAACATCATATTACAACACTGGGCCCATTCTGGTCCTGTTAAACCTCACCAGAGGCCCACTCTCAACATCAGTACAACACTGGGCCTATACTGGTCCTGTTAAACCTCACCAGAGGTTAAACCTCACCCCCACTCTCAACATCAGTACAACACTGGGCCCATTTGGTCCTGTTAAACCTCACCAGAGGCCCACTCTCAACATCTATACAACAATGGGCCCATTTGGTCCTGTTAAACCTCACCAGAGGCCCACTCTCAACATCTATACAGTACAACACAGGGTCATCAATTACAACACTGGGCCCAGTCCTCATAAACCTCTCCAGAGGCCCTCCCTATAGTCCCTTTAGACAAGCAGTAGAAACAAACAATCCTATTTAAATCGAAAAGGAGCTCTTGTGAGATTCCCTGAACCTGTGGAAAACCTTGACTTCCCTTTATTTAGGGCTGCTGTATCACTGTAAATGTTGGGGGGAAGGGAAAATAATATGGTTCTGTGACTGTGAGACAGACTAGCTGTCCCCCAACATATGTACAACGCTGTGCCTATCTAGCTCTGTTCAATTCTATTAAATCACTCAACTTATAATGCTCACAGTTACCAAATCCCATGTACTCCATTCTGAAAATAAAACATCACAACTCTTTCACCTAGCCTTGCTTCAAGTCTATACTGAATGACAAGTCCCAGATGAATAATTAGTTTATCTATATAAGTCTAGAGGCATGTCTAGATAAACGGGCCTTTAATTAGTTTAAAGGGTCAATCTATTCTTATTATTCATTTATGTAATCTAGAAATTATGATTTAAACTAATACTCATGGCTGTAGAGACTAGCACAAGACTTTCATCTAACAGACTCTCTTGTTTCTACCACGATAAAAGCGTGCCTCTGTGAGATTGCAGTCGCCTGTCAAGTCATATCAAAGTCAAGTCTGTATAAGACATGTTTATGTACTTGCACCGAACTGGCCTCTTCTATTTGTGTTGTTTGTCCAGATGAATCCTGCCAGTAATTAAATAAAACATGGGAAGACAGACTTGATTAACAGGTTCACCCTCCTTCCACACATTCAGCAGACTTGACACATCACTTGCTGATGATACAAAAACAGTATCTTCTTCAGCAGCTGATTAAAGATTGACAACATTCAGTTACGTTTCTGAAGGTTTGATATGTATGGCTCGAATGACTCCCGACAGGCACCGAATCTTTGAACACTGGGTGTGATGATGAGGGGGGTCTTCTTATCTCATCTGATGCTGTAACATGGTGCCAGAAACATGGTCTCGTGCTGAGTGAATGCTGCTTGCCACAATCGGCAGTATTCAAGAAATATCCAGACTGATTGTGAATAACTGTGCTTCAGGCAGACAAACCAGTGTTTGTCAGTATGAGGTAGGGTGATGTGAAAATTAATGGGTTTTAATGTCACTGTACAAAGTGATTTTAGCGCTAAGGTGACTGTAACTCCCATACCTTAACATAGATTTATGACAGTCTTAGTGCTAAGGTGTTCTATACAATATGGCACCCCCGCTTAAGATAATTGTAGTGCAGTGTGTGAGGGAGTCTGTGTCTCTGCATGCATGTGTTTGTGGGTGAGACTGTGTCGCTGCATGCATGTGTTTGTGGGTGAGTCTGTGTCTCTGTATGCATGTGTTTGTGGGTGAGTCTGTGTCTCTGCATGCATGTGTTTGTGGGTGAGACTGTGTCTCTGCATGCATGTGTTTGTGGGTGAGACTGTGTCTCTGCATGCATGTGTTTGTGGGTGAGACTGTGTCTCTGCATGCATGTGTTTGTGTGGGTGAGACTGTGTCTCTGCATGCATGTGTTTGTGGGTGAGACTGTGTCTCTGCATGCATGTGTTTGTGGGTGAGACTGTGTCTCTGCATGCATGTGTTTGTGGGTGAGACTGTGTCTCTGCATGCATGTGTTTGTGGGTGAGACTGTGTCTCTGCATGCATGTGTTTGTGGGTGACTGTCTCTGCTGTGGGTGAGACTGT